CTTGAACATGATCGGGAGCATAAACATCAGCTTTCACCTTTGAATGTGGCAAAACAACAACTTGCTCTCCCCTCGACATGAAACCCGAAAGTAGCATATGGGGCGACCTTAGTCCCCCCACTTCAACACGGGGGGGCAGGGGGTGTGGGGGATCACCCCCTCCCACACACTTGAGCATGTTCGGGAGCATAAACATCAACTTTCACCTTTGAACGTGGAAAAACAACAACTTGCTCTCCCCTCGACATAAAACACAAAAGTAGCATATGGGGCGACCTCAATCCCCCCACTTCAACATAGCTCAGTTGCTATATCCATGAACTCCTCAGATGCAGACAACGCGGAATGGACACTCATCACATACAATTGATCCCAAACAGTATGCACACACACCCAACATAAAAGAGCACCCATCGACCAGCCCTGGGGGATAAAAATATACTTGGAATCTAGACTGGATAAGGGTGTGGGGGCGCCCCCCTGAGAAAAGACAAGTTTTATACCCAAACCCAAAAACCGGGCCTACGCCAGGGCTACCGCACCACATAACTTGCGGTGCCAAGCACAACATTTCTTATGCTCGACATCAGTAAAGGAAAAACAAATGTCCCCCAAGCAAAATGAGCAACCACAAAAAAAGCACCCACAACATTTTAGGCCTGGACCCTAACAGCCTCAACCCCTCGTCCGGGCATAGCAAACAGACCAACCTATACCCAAACCCAGGCTCCACATGAATAAAGGAAAATCCCTGGCTGTGCCACCACGCTTGGCGTGGTCTAACAGTACAAACTACGGGCTGCGCACTCGTGCCCTCACCGTAAGTCAATTTCGAGTGGTGTGGAACGAGCCCCTATGACCGAGGCACTGTGGTGGTTGAAGTGTGCTGTGGGTCAACTGATTTCACCCCCGGTGAGACCCCTCCCCTGCCGATTTGTCCTTGGGCACCATTGCTGCCGGGGGGTGATGAGAGGGAGACCTGAGATTCGCTACTTGGCGGACGGTTTACCGAGAGGCCTTCTGCAGGGAGGCGGTCGGCCCCGTGTTGTTCAGCCGATTGTCGGGGTTGATAGTGGCGCTGAGGTCGGGGAAGGCTGGACAGCAGCTGGTGTAGTTAGTCCGTTTCGGCATGTGACCGAGCATGTTGGACACCCATTCAAGCGAAACACGGAATTGCAGTCTTCTTGTGCCCGTCCGATCCGGTTGTCCTAGGGTCGAACTCACGTTTTCTTTATAGGAAGTTACATGTGTTCACCACATGGCCTTTTGCCTGGCCGGTAGCGGGCTGTAATTGCTGCTGCCCAGTAGGCGCGACAGGTAGGCGGTTTTATTTGGCCCCCGACGAATCGGGAATTGTCGCTGTGGCTCGTCGCACCGGCGCTGCTATGTTTTGCCCAAGTCTCATCACGGCCCTGGAAGCTTGGCGGGACGAACATAGCACTAGTGCACCTGCGCTGCTATGTCTGGCTTGAGTCCTACCACGGACCTGGATGGTTATGAAATTAGGTTCATGCTAAGTACATGCGCTCTGAGCACGAACACAGTACGAGTTCCACCTGCGCGGCTATGTCCGGCCTGAGTCCTACCAACCACGGACCTGGATGGTTATGAAATGTGTACGTTCGTGCTAAGTACGTGCACTCTGAGCACGAACATAGCACCATTGCAGCCGCAACATATATGTTCCAGGTGGCCGTGTGACCGGTAGGCCGCCTTCGCCTACACCTGCACCCACCCCTGACACGCGGGGAACACAAAACTCTCAACCTAAACAAACAGAAGCTCATACCGGTCACTGAAGAAGGGGAGAAAGTTTCTCGTCTGCCTTCGTTTTGGACTTTCCAACCCGTTGCTCGTTTTTGATTGTTTGACGGAGCCGGTGTTTCGCGAGTCGCGCACACCCCCTAGCGAAATCAGTTCCCCGCCTGACTTGGCCATCATCCACTCCCCGCGGCCGCTTGCGGCTGTGTCGTGTGGTGTCGTGTTTGCAGTCGCGTTTCGCTTGATTGCGTGGTCTTCCCGCTGCCCTTGGCGGTCGTCTGGCGCTGGGTTTTGCTTACCGATTGCGTGTTGGTTCTGTTGTTCATGCCGTGCGTATTCATCATCAGCCTTTTGGCTCCGCGGAGCAAGCCAATCCGTTAATCAATCAAGTAATCAGTCGCCAGTCAAAGAACACAAGAGAGAGGCAGTAACGACACCGATCATCAGTTTTCGCGGGGCTGTTTGGCTTTCGGGTACTTGACCGCCGACAGATTCGACGCGTCTCTCGATCTTTCCTGCTGTCAGAAGAAGACGAAGGGCAAAGTCGAGAGGGTAGACAATACCAGTACCAGCCCCTTCCAATCAGTCAGTTTTCTTTCGTTGGAGATCTTCGTGTCTGTGAACGGCTTCGCTGATCGGGTCATGTGGGGGAGATTTCGGCGAAAGAAGGGCCTCTCCACTTCCGTTCGGGGTTCTCAAGTCTGTCAAAACGGCCCGCAACGAGAGAAGTCGCGACATGGATCTGGCGGACTCCGAGTATCGCTGTTTTGTCGGCGGGCTGTCGTGGAACACGAGCGATCGAGCTCTCGGGGAAGCTTTCCGCTGTTTCGGGAACGTTATTGATGCCAAGGTATCGTTCATTGACGACTGTCTGTCTGTCTGTCTGTTTGTTTGTTTGTTTGTTTGTTTGTTTGCTTGCTTGCTTCAGAAAGCAAATCGAATCGTTGGTCGGCTCGCGTTATCATAGAGTACGCGCTGTGGTGCATATTGTATGTTGTATTTCGTTGTGCTGTGCATGTGATTTGGTGCATCGAGAAATGCTTTTTGAGGGACTCGCTCTCGCCGCTCATCAAATGTCCCCAACAAAACGCACCCGGATCTTGAATGTATATATAAGCTTTACACTGATTATGATGCAGGTGTGTTGTGTTGGGCGGGAGACGGGTATAATACCCTACGGCTACAAGCGAAAATACTTGAAAATGAAGAAACCGCTTGTAGGGCGGGAGACGGGTATAATACCCTACGGCTACAAGCGAAAATATTTGAAAATGAAGAAACCGCTTGTGTGTGCTGCTGCTCAAATTTTGCATCCTCGGGAGGGTGGGCGGGTGGCGTGTGGAGTACAGCCATTGATTAATTTATTCTTTTAGTGTCTGAGCTTCCCTTTCATTTCTTCGAGTGTCTGTCTGACCTCCCCTTTCATGTTGGTCAAATTTCGCTTTCTGACTGATTTCCGGGGTTATTTCTGCGCATTTTTACTGTTTAATTCCTTGCTTGTATTTCAGCTGCGCGATGGCCGTGCTGTGTTTTGGTCTGTGTGTCCTTTCCCCAATTCTTCTCGTTTGATGGCGACGAAAGTGATGGAAAGCCCTATTTGCCGGGCTGTCCTCGTTCGGGTTGGGAAAGGGATGTTTATGGGGTAACGAATTGGGCGGATGGAAATTTATCAGTCTATAAAATATGGATTCGTTCGTCGTTACACGTGTTTTTTCTTAGTATTTGCATTTCTTTGTGTGATGATTTGTTGGAAAAAATAGATGCGCCACAGGATTGGACCTAACTTTCCGAAGGGGAATGTCTGTTTTCATAAATTTGCTGTCCCTCGCTTTTCCCCCCCTCTCTTGTCCGTCGTTCGCCCTTCGCGTGTTTGCTTCTCTGTGTACTTTCTTGGTTCTGCTCTTTCCCCTTTCATCGTTTGCCATTCTTGTGCGTCTCTCAGAGCTCTACCTTCCTCCGTGCATCTCTCCTTTATATCGCTCGACCTCGTCGTTCACCCCCTTTTCTTTCCTCAGCTTGCCCTAGTTGGCGTCTGGATACTCTTTCCGTCTTTTAATTCTCTCTTCCGTTGACCTTAATGTCGTTCTGCGCCCTCTGTTCGCCGCTATCGTGGCCGGGGTGCTCCCTTCGCTCCTCCTCCCATCTCTGACCTGAAATAGGTACGTCTGTTGCAGCCTCTCCTTGTGTTCATGTTTTGCGAATATTCCCTCTCCTTGTGCTCATTTTTTGCCTCTATGCCCTCTGCTCGTGCTAATCTTTTGCCTGTGTGCTCTTCCCCCCMCCCCCCCCCTCTCAAACCAGCCCATATGACCTTTCCCTGCGCTTAAGAATCAGGGCACGTGCACTGGTTTATTTTCCATTTTTTTTAGTCGTTTCAGCGTGCTTTTTTAATCCCCCCTTCTTTTAATTACCCCACCCCTCCTCTTCCTTTTCCAGTCTTTTCTAACCATCTGCATCTTGTCCGTTTCTCTTTCCTTGAATATTTCCAATGTCGTTGGGTGTTCTCGCGTTCTTCCCCTCTCCCTCCTACTCTGCCCGCCCTGTCCCCGCTCTGTCTAATCCTCTTCATCCTTCTCGCTCGCTTTACGATCGATTTGCCGTATTCTCTTTCCCTCTTGCTCCCTGCATCTCGGCATGAGCTCTCGTTTTCCCTCTTCCGCCGTTCAACTTCTCCTTGCTCTTGCGTTTGTCTTCCGTTCAACTTCACCTTGCTCTTGCGTTTGTCTTCGTCGGCTGTCTCTCGTGATGTTCAATCTTCCTCCGGTTTTATGTCCCTTTTTTTTCTGTCGCTTTCTGTCTTGTACGCTCTGGTTCCTGTTGATCAAAGGGTTCGATCCCTCTCCCTTGGTCCGTCTTCTCTTTCTTTCCGGCGAGGCACTTCGTCCCTGGATAGATCTTTCCTTCCCGGTGCTCTTTCCACCTGTCTCTGAATCCCTTGCCTTCTTGATTACCCTCTCTTCTTTTCCGCAGGAATCGCTCTGCCCTCTCTCGGCAACTCCAATCAGTGTCTCATCTGGAGCTTTTCCTCTCCGGTTCCGTTATGTAGCGAGCTCCCGTTCTCCGTTCCGCCGTATTCGCCGTCGGTTGAACTCCTGTCCTCCGTTCCGCCGCACTCCTTGGACTCCTGTCCGCCGTCGGCATCTCCGCTGGGTGTCTTTTGGCTGCCTCCTTGGAGTCTGTTTCATATCTCATCCTCGAGTACGTTGTTGGTACAGCCCGCGTAGTTAGAGCGGCAAAGTACGCAGGAGTAGACGAAGTATCACTCAGCACGAGAGTAGGGTTGAGATGTAGCGCATCGGAGAGACTCTGGTGATGATGTGAAGCAAATTGAGACCATACTCGCTCCAGGACTCTTTTCGACTCCGCGCTACACGTGTTGCAGCCAGATGCATCAAGTTCATCGCGAAAAGTGCTTGTGTGAGTATATCGCCTGCCTTCACTGTCGTAACGGTATTATATTAGCAGAGCCACGTCAGTTATTTTTGTTTTCTATCTGATCAGGGTTTTGATTATGTGGCTGCCGGGAGCTCCTCCCTTCCGTAGGGCAAGCCACAGTTGATTGGTTTTCTAGACTCTTATTCTTTTCGGAATAACGTGCCATTTGGCCAACTGCGGGTGAAGAGTTGAACGCCACGGCGGAGAAAAAAAAAATGTCATTCGAAATAAAAGAAGGAAATGAGAAAGCATTCCCTCTGCCCTCTGCCCGTGCACAGCACCTTTCTGAACTGATGAGGAAGGCCTCAGAGAAATCGCAGCTGTAGCTTGTCGCCGTCTGAATTGGCGAGACCTGTGCTTTGGGCCTCCCTTCCTTTTTTTTTTCCCGGGGAATAGGTGTTGTTGGGGCATTTCATCTTCATCGTGAAGTGTTGAATCGTTTTGGTAAGAGTTGAGAATGCGACTTGTTCTGGGTAATCAATCATTACATAGAGAGAGTACGAGATCTGATCGTTTTTGTGTTTCTGTGATCTTGAGGAGGAGCTGTATGTTGACAAATCGGTGGGGGTGGTGGTTGGTGTGACGAATGTGCGTGTGGCAGGTGATAACCGATCGGGACACAGGGAGGTCTCGCGGATTCGGGTTCGTGACCTTTGGAGATGAGAAATCGATGGACGCAGCAATCGACAGGATGCATAACAAGGAGCTGGATGGAAGGACGATAACGGTGAACAAGGCACAGCCAAAGATGGGGGAAAGAGGAGGAAATGGGTATGGGGGGGGATATGGAGGATCGAGTGGGGGGGGGTATGGGGGAGGCCCGGGGAGGGGGGGCGGAAGCGGAGGGGACTGCTTCAAGTGCGGGCAACCGGGGCATTGGGCGCGAGAATGCCCGTCTAGCAGTGGGGGTGGGTACGGAAGGAGCGACCGGTACAGCAGTGACCGTTATCGTGGAGGGGGAAACGGTCGCGGCGGGAGCGGCGGCGGTAGCAGCAGCCGTTACGATAATGACAGTGACCGCTATCGGAGCAGCGACCGGTACGGCAGCGACCGCAATGGGAGTCGGTCCTCAGGCGGTGGCAGTTATCGCGACCGAGACAGTGGTGGTCGTGGGAGCCGGTACAGCAGTAGTGGTAGTGACAGATACAGTGGCGGAGGCTCTGGCGGACCTTCGCGCTACGAGGGCAGCAGCTACAGAGACAGGTATGGTCCCTACGATAGACCGTCTGGGAATGGACGATCTTCCTACGATGACCGATATTAGGGGGAAGAATATGAGAGGGAGGGATGATTCAACGAAAGCAGTTTTCGAGATGGAAATAGGCTTTGCTGCTCGCGTGCGTGCGTCGAGCCGCGCTGAGGGGAATGGGGATGAAGTGTGAAAAGCGGGGCGTAGGGGGGAATATTTTGGAGGGGGTTTTGGGAAGGAACGAGTTTCGATGTAGAAATAGGTGGCTCGTCCCCGCATGTGCAGACGAAAGCGAAGTGGGAGAGGGCAAAAACCACGTGGGAGGGAGAAGAGGGCGGTAGGGAGGCTGGCTGACTGCCTGTAGGAATCTTACCCTGTCAGTGTAGCGGAGGGAAAGGAAAGAAATGACGCGAAGGAGGGGAGGGGAGGGAGAAAAGGAGCAAATCGCGGGAAGGAAGGCGAAGGATAGGAAAGAAGTCACGGAAAGTAGGGGGGAGGGAAGGGGAAAGAAATATCGGAAAGTAGGAGAGGCGAGTTCCTTGTGGGGATGGGGAGGTGGTGGTATCAGCCACAGACGGCGGTTTCTCTTCTGGTCTTGTTTTTCTGAGGACATGTGTAATGAACGATGGCCGTTACGTCAACTAAAAAAGCATGACGACGATGGTGTTGGGCGCTGCCGGGGTAACGAAACAGTGTTTAGCAGGAGGTCCAATTCGTCAGGTTTCGGTTTTCCCCCCGGTTGTGTTCTCCGTGTATTCTATCTAGTTCTGCTCCGTTGCCTTGAAGATTGCTTTCTTCGAGTTGGTGGTAGCGGGAACCGAGTAATCGATTAAATCGCATTCAATCAGTTAGGAAGTCGTTTGTGTTTGGAGGATAAGGAAGGCAGGCGCAAGCGTTGGCACGAGAGGTCAGCGATCGGGGACGGTCGTTCTGTGCTGTGATTACTTTCACCCCTCCGCTATTGGCGGTTACGTGCAGAGGTGTAATCTTTTCAGTTGGCTGCTGAGGTACAGGAAATGAAATGACGGTGGGGGTTATTTGGCCGGTGCGCTCCGTTCCGTTCAGTTACGGGATGATGAACGGTTACAATAATCAATGGAGCTGGTGGCTAGTGGGAGGAGGACGTTACGTGGCTTTTTACTCGTTCTTCTGTGAAGCCACGTGGCGTGTCATCATTTGCTTGTGCCATTTTGATCAACAGCTGGCAGTCGTCGGTTGCTGAAGATGGGGTCGTCGATGGCCGCTCATGCTATCAGTAGTCGCTGGTTCCCCTTGGAGTGCACTTATCAGTGTCTGGGTTTTTTTCCCTGCTTGTCATTTGTTAACCGAATACCCTCTCATTCTCTCTTACTCTCTCTCTCTTCTCTCTCTCTCTCTCTGTTTATCTATTTTTTCCCTCTCTCCCTTTCAAGCTTGCTGCTCGTTTGCTGGGTACGAGAAGGATCTCTCTCTCTCTCTCTCTCATCGTTGTGTCCCCGCCATTTCCACGACCCCCCCTCATCGCCCCATTTCCCTCTCCCCTCTGGCTATCGTCGTTTTTCCATGCATCCATCATCATTTAATCGACCAACATACGGAGTCGATCAATCAATCAATCAATCAATCAATCAGTCAACGGCCGCTGGTTAGAGACCCCGAGGAAACGGTTTTTGTAAAGCTGTAACTGCATTGTTGTTATTACTAAGAAGATTCGCATGTTAACTACAATACGGTCGGTATGTTGGCTGGTTGGTTGGTTGGTTGGTTGGTTGGTTGGTTTCGCTGTGAGTTAACCGGTCGGTCGGTTAGCGGAGGAAATGGGAGGAGATCCAAGGGGGGCATCGGGGGCAGTCAGTGCATGTGACAAGGCTCTCTTGAAAGTCTAAGAAAGTGGAATGATGATGATGGAAGAAAGGATCTGCCATGGCCTATGTTGTTCCGATTATGATGCAAAGGTCGTTTCAGTACATAGAAGAAGAAATTCAAATGGCAGGCTGTGTGAAGTGGGCATCTTCGCAGAGAGAGTGTTGAAATGCGGTGCTCGTACGTTCTCTGGCTATGGTAATGGTGGCTGCCGTAACGTTGGCCGTCAGTGCTTGCAATGCAAAAAAGGGCAGCTGTGTGTTGGTTGGGGCAGGGGGAAGGGTGTGGAAGAAGCGTGGGGGGATGTGGCGTGTTGCCAGTGTGAGTTGTGGAGACGATGCGTGATATGAGAAGAAAGAAGAAGAGAGCCACGGTCGATTTTTGCTTGGTCGGTCCTGTCAGCATGCATCCATCACTCAATCAGTCAATCATTTCACGTCGGAGGGGGAGGGCACCGAATTACTACCACTGCTAGCACTCCTGCTGCTTCTGTTGAACTTCTTTGCAGAGAAAGGAGAGAGAGTTAAAACCCGGTCGGTTCGGTTCTTCTGGTCAGTGCAGTTTACGGCCCTGTGACGATGATGATGATCCTGATGTTGTTGTTGATGATGATGATAACTATGATGATGATGATGATGATGATGATGATAACGTGAAATGTTGCTGATGACAGAGGATGAGTGGCAGTCTTCCGCGCGGTTCTTTGGTGGGCGAGCTTGCGACGAACTTTCGGCAGAATCTACGTGGCAGTTGATTGATCGTGTCGCGTGTTACTCTGTCTTGTTGTTTTCTGGCGGCTCTTCCGTCGGACGATGTTCTGTCTCGAGCCCGCCGAGATTGACACGTGTCTCCTTATGTTACGGCGCGCCGTGGGACATTCCCGTTCTGCGAATCACCTCTCTCGACTTCACTTCTGCTCGCGCTACTCATGTTTAGTGTCATGGGTCGGCTGTCAGTTGACTTGAAAATTTGTTGGTGTTGGGTGGCGGGGTCTCACTGGAGGGCAGCACAAGCGCATCTGGATTAGTAAGTTCGTCGTCCGTGTTAGATTGCCAACCAGCTCATGGTCGATCAAAGAAGGGTCTCTTTCTTCTGTCTGATTTATGTGTGGCTGCTGCTGGATCTGTGATTGACTGGCAAGCAGGGAGGCAGACGGATGAAGCGCATCTCTACTTCGTGGGTCGTTGGATGGTTGTTTTTGTGCACGCAGAGAGACTGCTACTCGTTGGATTGTGCCAGCCAACCAACTCACGGTCAATCGAGAGAACGGTCTTTTTTTTTCTGTCAGATAGATGTGTGGCTGCTGTTGGATCTGTGATTGGCTGGCCAGCAGGGAGGAGGCGGCGGACAAAAGGGCATCTCTTCTTCGTCGGTCGTTGGATGTTTTTTTTTGTGTGTGTGCAGAGAGACTGGTACTTGTTAGATTGCCAACGAACCAACTCATGGTCAATCGAGAGAACGGTCTCTTTCTTCTGTCAGATATATGTGTGGCTGCTGTTGGATCTGTGATTGGCTGGCACGCAGGGAGGCGGACAAAAAGGAATCTCTCCGCTTCGTCGGTCGTTGGATGGTTGTTTTTGTGTATGCAGAGACTGTTATATTGCCAACCAACTCAACTCATGGGCGATCGAGAGAAGGGTTTCCTTCCTCTGTCAGGTGTGCAGTTTGTGTGGGCTGCTGTTGGATCTGTGATTGGCTGGCTGGCAGGGAGGCAGACAAAAGCGCATCTGCACTTCGTCGGTCGTTGGATGGTTTTTGTATATGCAGAGTCGACTCTTAAGTATGATGCACAGCAGGGAGGGAGGGAGCGAGGGAGGGAGGGATCTTTCTGGCCGCCGAAAGGACAAGCGAGCGGCTGGCACAATGTCTACCATGTTCCCGCCTCGCGGTTTATATATTATTGTAAACTTTGCGTCCGTTCGGTTTTTGATTCGTTGCCGATGCCACCACTCTTCGTGTCACTGTGTGAGAAAAGTACGCTTTGCCTCCCTTTTGATTGATTGACAGCGAGATGCAATTCAACGTGGTGTGCTCTCTCCACGTGTCGTTGTGGAGTCGCCTTCGCGTCTGACTTACTGTCGTTGAAAAACGAACAGGATAGAGGGAACGCGCGTCAGCTGCACTTGTATCATGGGATGATGGCTGATCCTCCTCCGTTCGGTCACGTCTCTCATCTATCTGATCTTTGATACGATGTTGTATTGAATGTCTGCCGGAGCACGACATCGACAGAAAAGTGCCTCTGACGATCAATAGCTGTGCAGTTTCCCACCACCTCAGTTTGGTTTAACGGGTTGACGATCAGTGCCGCTGTTCACTTCCGGTCGGTTCAGTTGAGTGAGTGGTTTTTGGCATATCTATCCATCCATCCATCCATCCATCCGTCGATCGATCGATCGATCGTGCTGCAGCGTTTGTCGGAGAAGCTGCCTTCTTCGCGGTTTGATAAGAGTCTGTGATTGCTGGCTGGATGGTGAGGTTTCCGGAAGGGATTGGCTTTTTAAGTGAGGGCCTTGTTCTGCTCTCTCTTTGTCTGCTGTCCTGCAGAGCCGGCTGTCGGAATCGCACTTCGTTACACTAGTGAAGCAACAAGATCCGCCCTCTGTCACCTCTCCGGCTGTTGTGTTCTGATACATGATACGAACAAACATGCATTCACTCTGTCTGCCGGGTCGAGAGCGCCAGTTTCCGATCGATTTCTGTGCAGTTTCACCACGTGAGTGCAGTTTCACCTCGTGAGTGCGATTCCAGTTGCGATTCGTGTACGGTTGAGCTTCGGTGGTCGGTTCCTGCCCGTGCTGCTGTCTGTGTCCATCGGCAGGCAGTCTCTTCTGAACGATCAACACGACTTCAGTTTGGTTTCGGTTACCCGATTCGTTTGCGGTTGGGGATCAGTGGCCGGTGTTGTTGCTCTGCCTACCGCATCTCTCGAGCTGTCTGTATTGGACCTGGCCGGTGTTTCCTCTTTTGTGCGCATTCTGCTTCCCTCGTCTTGGTTGGCCTTCGGTGGTCAATGCGCACACTGTGGCAGCTTGACGAACGTGGTTTTGTTGCAAGCGAGAGCCTTGCATTTACGTGCGTATTACGCTTTGTTCCCTGTTTCCTGTCGTCCGGTCACAGCCGTCTCTCGGGTTGATGCTCACTTGGAACCAACCAGTGGGCAGCGCACGCCGGACAGGTGGTTGTGGGAAGGAGCGAGCGAGCGAGGGAGGGAGGAGGGTGGGGTTGGGGGGGCGGAATACAGTTGTGTACGGTCACTCTGGGATCCACTGAGTGGGCCGAACGGGGGCCAAGGGCATCCGGTCGGTCTTTGTTTGGGCTTGTGAAGTGTAGGCGGGGTTAAGGGAGGAGATCCAGTAAACCTTCTCCTCCCCCTTTCCCCTGTACGCATAGGTTAGCTTGCTTTCTTGCTGCACTCCCGGTGGCCGGCCTCAGTGTGTGCACTGATCACCTTCTTCTTTTTTGCTTTTGCGCTTTTTTTTTTAATTTCACTTTTTCCTTTGGGTGCGTCCTCTCTCTGTCGCCCGTACCTTCCTCTTCTCTGTGTGTGCCCTGGTAGCGGTCGGAATGTACATAGGCAGGAGTCGTCCTCTCTCTGTCGCCCGTACAGCAAAGCGTGTTTGTATACCTTTTCGACGAATGCTGTGCTTGTTCAACGAACGCTGTGCTGTACGTTTATTCATTCTGCTGTTTTTTGATAACGGTGACGTGAGGATATGTACGGTTTGGGGTTCGCGTGCGGTTCATGATTGTACAGATAAATACGCCCGGCCGTCGGCAGACAGCTGTGGTCCGTGTTTTGTGTTGACGGCGGTTTTGAGTGCAGTGGTGATCTTCGCCTGCGTCAACCAACGGAACTCTGTGTGGGACTCTGTGGGACAAAGTCACTCGTCGATGTTTGGTATGATGATGCGTGTATAGAGAAACTTGCTGCTTGAGGATGCATTTTTGTCGGTGCGCTACTGGACTGTGATGGTGATGGTGCAAAGCTGGCTGCCGTGGTACTCGTTGTTTTCTGTTTCCTGCTTCCGACAATGTAAAATGAAACCTGGAGGTATGTGGATGGTGATATAGATCGGAACTGAAAGAGGTGGTGGTGGTGAATCCGTTCTGACGTTGTGGGTGGGGGTCTTCCACCCATTACTACACGCAGTGAGGTGGTACTGTGAGTGTGTGAAGAAGGCAAATGGGGCACGGTCTGAATCTGATCATCATAAGAATCGCTGTATGCTACCCTAACACTTACATTGCCCTGCAGTTGCTGACACGTGGCAGTTGGTGGTACGTTGTCTGTAATGATGCGGTTGGCAACTCTTCATGAGGGAAGAAGAAGAAGGGAATGGGAAAAATGGTTTTTTTTTGGTGTGTGTGGGGGGGTGTGGGGGGTGGTGCAAGCTAAGAAATATGAGAAAGGGGAAAGGAGAGGAATTTCATTCGTTGGGTGTTTCGTGTTTGTGTTCTGAAACCAGGAAAACGAATGAACGGGTGGGGAAAGCAAAGAGTCAAGTGTTCATTATCTGGTAGTCGGGAGGGACGGGCTTGTGGGTGGGCAGGACTTCGTTTCGATTGATCTAAAAGACGGACTGACGGAAACTGGTAAGCAGCAGCGATGACGTCAACCCAACGACCAGTTTCTTGCACCGCAACCTTGATCGAACGACCGGCTCTTTGTCATTGGTGCTGATGCTGGTAATTCCGTACAGCTATGAATAGATGGGAGAGGAAATCAGTTGGGATGAGATGGTACACGAACGGATAAGGTCAGATGGAAGAGTGATGAATCACGCGAGAGGCAGTGAAATGGCCACCGCATATGACATGGTGTATATTCGCTCCTCTTCCTCTGCTGGTGTGCTTCGGTGTATGGCGATGGGGAACTTCCTAACGAGTTTGAGATTGGCAGTGGGAGCAGAAACGCATCCTACCTAGCTAGTGTTTGAGATGGTCTGTGATGAGATGACAGTCGGTAAGTGGACAGCTCTCCCTTGCACTCCATCGTCCTCCAATGTCACCGCTGCCGCGATTGCCGGCGACTTTGATTGGTTCGCCCTTGTGCCGACTGTAGATACACTATCAGCGATGAACAGGAGGCAGGCAGGCAGGCAGGCAGGCAGGAGGCTGCTGATACGGGCAGTGAGGCAGCAGCTTGTACTTTGGACACTGTTGTGGTCATTGTGGGCAGGCGGTGCAGGCAGAGGGAGTGAGAACGGTTGATCAGTTCTGTTCTTCTACGAAGTCGTTGATTTTCATCGTGTCACATTTGATGATCTCTGAGTTGCCGTTGTGGAGATGCTGGATCGGTCTCCGCTTCCTCTTGAATGGTGGGAACAGGCACACGTAATTGGGTTGGTCGGTTATCTGATCTGCTTTATGTTACCCGCTCTTCTTCTCCTGCTGCTACTGCTGCCGTCATTAACCGTTGGTGAGTGGCTTGAGAATGGCGTGCAAGTGATCAGAGGGGGTGGTATGGGTATGCACCGAAGTCGCTGCCACGTCTGGTAGGTAGGGATGATGCATAACCCCTCCTCTCTCCCTCTCCCTCTCCCTTCCTCGCTCTCTCTCACTCACTCAGGACAGCACCGTTTTATCTAATTAGAATGTGTGCTATGATATGTCTATGTACAGATTTGGCTTGAGTGTTTTGCTTTGATCTGTTTTCTTTTGCCACCATCCGAATTGGTCGCCTTCATCCCTGTCCTTGGCCTGGTTGCATCTCGGGTCATGCTTGTGAATGCGGCCAGTCTCCGTACCACTGGTCTATGATGTCGTGTATCTGTTATCTTGTATGCTTACGTTTCAGCGGCACTTGTATCCTTTTTCTTCTCTCACAGACGCCTCTTCAGTATGTGATACTGTCGAAATAGATATTCCCGCTGGCACCGAGGATTATTCCCTCGGCACTTGTATCCTTTTCCTTCTCTCACAGACGCCTCTTCAGTACGAACTAACCGGACAACAGAATTTGCGCGCTAGGTTGTTTAACGAGCCCTTTGGCAAATAAGCCAACCAACGTATTCAGAGTCTCCTGCCATAACTCTTGTCTATGTGGGCAGTCTCCATAGCACTGGGAACATCCAGTGCTCTCTCTATGTCATGGTAATTGAAGCACAGAGATGATCAACGAGCTGTTTGATGTCTGTCCTCGACAGACAGGAAACGAGGTAGTGGCTGCCGTTATGTCTCTGTTTCTCTGTCCGTCTCTGCCCCTCTCTCTCCCTCTCTCTTTGTGTCTGCCTCCAGTCTGTCAACGCGCTGTATCATCTCTATCCTTCACAGATGGCCAGCAAGGTCGCACCTACTGATATGTCTCTCTTGTTCTCTTTTTTCTCTGTGTCTCTCTCTCTTCTCTGTTTCTCTCTCCCTCTCTCTATGTGCGTCTTGTCTCTCACTCTCGCTGTCCCCTTTTATGTCCCCCTGTCTTCTCGGTCCACCAGCAGATCCTGGTGGTCTCGTGTATCAGAACAGGGGCAAGGTTCCCTTCCACCCCTCTCTCGATCTCTTGTGCATAGTTCTCTCACACAGTCGGTGTGTGGAAGGGATGACCTTCCCTCTAGTTCCTCACTGTCTTCTGGTGCAGTCTCTCCCCCTGTGATGAAGTTATTGATGCGGGCCATTTGCACAGGCCGCCTCCTCTTATCAATTTAATTTTTCCCCCTCTTCAAATGAAACCTTTGGTTTACAGCCTTATTTGGAGGCGACAGTCCGGCTCCTCTCCGCTGGCAATGTGGGGTTTGTGCGTTTTGGAATGGCTTTCTCGGTGATTTCAAGTATGTCCCTTGCTGGTTTAGACCACGAACGACATTGACATCCCAACTTTGAATTTTGCCAGTGGAGGTCGTCCGAGCAAGCACTAGGTATGACCTATATTTTGGCCGGTCAACTGGACCTAACAGCTCTTCTTCTCTTGCTGCCTCCGTCTCCTCCCTCCGATCCTGTTTTACGTAGAATCACTGATATATGGCTACAACACTCTGGAAGTGAGGTTCCTTTAGCCAGGGGTTAAAAGATAGGGATTGAGTAGGTGTTTTTTTATCGAACAACTTCGAATTTTGCCAGTGGAGGTTGTCCAAACCAGCACTAGGTGTGGCCTATATTGGACGGCCAAGTGCAGCCAAACCTCCAAAAAATTCTTCTCTTGCTGCCTCCGTCTCCTCCCTCCGATCCTGTTTTGCATAGAATCGTTGATGATATGGCTATAACACTTTGGAAGTGAGGTTCCTTTTTTAGCCATGGGTTAAAAGATAGGGATTGAGTAAGTGCGTCGATCGAGTGACACGTTGCAGCAAGGTATGAAGCCATGGGGTAAGATAGGGACAGGAAACGGGCAATAGAAAAAGGAGATGGAAACCCTAGTGGTCCCCTGATATCCCTTAACATGTTGGCCCTTGTGCTAAGCTTCCTTCCCGCCAGAAAATTCCTCAGGTATCTCTTGGGGTAGATATATGTAGAATGCCTGCTTTCAGGACAGGAAACTATGTTGTGGGGACGGTAGGGATCTCCACTTCGGTTTTCGCTTAGATAGACGGAATAAGGAGAAGTCCTATCTGTAGCAAGAGCGGCAGCGTGCTCTCATCTGAGACAAAACTGAGGAACGGGCTGACGCGCATTGGACGGCAGAATGGGCTGGCGCGCATGCGACAGCAGAGCATATGTTGTCGTGAACTGTGGTATCCTTGGAAACGGCGTCTTGTGGAGGAATAGAACTGGGCTAGGGACATCAGCCATGGGATGAACACGGGATCATCAGTTATGTCATGTCTGGATGGCACCACTGCGTTTTCACTGTCATGTCTTTAAGTCCAAACGGTTATGTCGTGGCCGGTGGCACCACTGAGTTTTCGCTGTCATTTTTCAAGTCCGAACAACTACTATTATGTAGCTGTTGTGCGCGCCTGTTACCCCATTCATTCAATGGCTAAATGGGTCCTTGCTCTTGGGTTCTCATGGCGGCGTCTTTTTTCTGTCCCCTCTCCCCCTCGTTTTTTCCTTATTTTTTGTCTTCGGCTTGGGGTAGTGTGGAGTTCCGACCGGCTTTCTAATCTTGAGTCCGCTCAAACCTCAATCGATTCTCTTTTTGAGGGTGTCTGCTGCTGGTCTGTGGCATCCCCCATGGGAATTTAGACCTGCCAAATTCTGCCGTAGTCCCCAATGGGATTTGTGGATCCATCAAACTCAGCCGTAGTTGATTTTGGCACGTAAACTGAGGGGAAGAGGGCTTGAGAAGCAAGTGCGCATTCATAATATGTGACCGGGACAGAGCATGGCGTGTTGTCGTTTGGGTTGTGTGAAGGTTCTCAACAACTCCAATTATGTATGCCAGCTTTTTGTGAGAGTGTTTTGTGGGTCCGTGGCAGCTTGATTCTTTCTATTTAAATCTCTCATCCTTTTTCTGTAGAGCGAACGGAACTCTGCTGTGGCTCTCTTTCCAAGGATCTGCCTGTTCTTCTCTCTTCCTCCTTACCTCTCTACCTGTCCTCTTACTTCCCCTCCTCTGGTCAGCTCCCCCATGTCATTCTCCTTTTTTCTGATGTTGACTGAAATGGGTACAGCTGCTCGGGAGGCAGACACATGGTGTGCATCTCCGTTCCTCCCTCCTTATGTGCTGCTGCTTCGCCCTCCCCTGTTTCCTCCTGTTGCTCTTTCCTGTGCCTCCTCCTCTTTCTTCCACCCTTCCCCGATGCCGCTGTTCTTCCATCTCTTCCACTGTTCTCGCCATCCTCGTTTTTGTCTTCTCCATCCAGCCCTCCCCGTCCATTCTTCCTCTGGCCTTCCCCCCCCCCCCCCCCCCCCCCCCCCCCCCTTTCTCCAGGCTGCTCTCTTGTGGTCCCCTTTGATATTTTTTTTTCTCCATCTCTTTCTTGCTCCCCCTTGCGCC